CTACAAACTGTGCAATTGTAGCAGTGCGCAAACCTGTTGTTGTGCTTCAGAAGCTACTCCACTGCTCTCACGGAACTATCTTGTTGGCATTCTTGGGTAGTGGCTTTTTTTACTGTGCATGGGTTGTCTTTAATCATGACTTGTGGATTATCTTTAATCATTGCTTCATGTGGGACTAAAAAGCAGTAGAAAAATGTCTGTATTCAATTACAAAGTTAAGTAAGCTCAATGTCCTTATTGCAGCGAAATGGGGATTCTGCCAGAAAAACAATGTGCTGCTGTGTAAAGTGGCTGCCTTTCAGACAGGTACAGATTTGTTAGACCAAAAGTGCAATTAACTCAATGGACAAAATTTTTTACAAAAATTGGCCATTACACATGGAGCAATTTGTCGCTGTGACATATCGCTGCAACGTGTTGCTGCAACTTGTTGCCTAGTGTGAACTTCTTGCATTGAAAAACTATTCTTAAAAGAATTTTGAAAATGAATACGTTAATGAAAACCAGTGGCCAAGGTATGTGCAACTGAAGATTCATCGGCTGAGTACTGATCCTGTAAATTTTTACAAAAATGGGCCATTACAGATGGAGTGATTTGTTGCTGTGACATATTGCCACATTGTGTTGCTGCAACTTGTTGCCTATTGGGAACATCTTGCACTGCAAAACTATTCTTTAAGGATGTAAAAAAATGAGTATGTCAATGAAAAGCACTGGCCAAGGTATGTGCAACTGAAGATTCATCGGCTAAGTACTGATCCTGGAACATGATCCTGGAGGCCTGAAACCGTTCTTTGGAGGAGTTTAATGAATGCGAGGCTATTTTTGTCAAAAGAGTGGTAAGAAAGGAGAGTGGGTAAATGTCAGTAATGACCTGAAGGGATGCATCCAGGTGTTTGTGATGTCCGTGGAAGGCATATTGTTTAAGCTTTTCTGCCAGTTTTGGAACCAAATCTGGGGGTGAAACTTGAACGTTAGTAATCGAAACAAAGAAGATGTAACTAACCTCTTCTAACAATGAAATGTGCTAATAGGCTGCCCAAAATGCGAAATATATAAAATAACATCATGTTGCTTAGAATAACGGAAATTAGTTTCTGCCATGTGATAGTAGTATAACTGCGGAATAGTAATTGGACAAATCATTAAAGCATTACTGAAGAAGAAGAATGCTGTCTCAAATTTGAGTGTTCAGCAAATGCTCCTCCACAAGTTTGGAATTGAAAGGGCTTTTCACGTGTGCCTTGGAATGTTGTCTTTTAGGATCCAGACACGGCTGAAGCCTTTCCCACAAAATCCTTACTTAAATGGCCACACGTGTATTCGAAAAATTGACTTTTGGCAGCCAGGGACAGTTAAAGGCCTTCCTACAAAACTGTGCAATTGTAGCAGTGCACAAACCTGTTGTTGTGCTTGAGAAGCTACTCCACTGCTGTCATGGAACTTTCTTGTTGGCATTCTTGGATAGAGGCTTTTTTGACCGTGCATGGGTTGTCTTAAATGATGACTTGTGAATTATCTTTAATCATTGCTTCGTGTGGGTTTAAAAAGCAGTAGAAAAGTGTCTGTATTTAATTACAAACTTAAGAAGCTCAATGTCCTTATCTGCACGTGTGAATTATTATTCAAACCTAATTGATCAATGTGCAGGTGACTCTCCAAAGCTATTTTGTGTGGTTAACTCTTTATCCAGGGAACCACTTGAGACAGTTCTTCCAGAGCACGATGATCCCACTAAGCTAGCAAACGAATTTAGCACCTTCTTCCTAAAAAAAATTGAAATCACAGGGGAAAATCATGACAAGTTTCAAGTTCAAGAGTCTCGACTTTCTCCTGTTACTCCAAAGGGGAATCTGGAGAATTTTTTGAGAATCCTCCAATGCCTCTTGTCGGTTGGATCCTGTTCCTACATGGCTAGTGAAGTCCTGTCTTGATGTATAGCGCCCTCTATCACTGAGATGGTTAATATTTCTCCTCTCAGTGGTTGCGTTCCAGAAAATTCGAGAACTGCTCTTGTCATTCCTCTATTGAAAAAACCTGGACTTGATTTGGTCTACAAAAATTTCCGTCCGGTCAGTAATCTGCCATTCATTTCCAAAGGTAGTGGAAAAGGCTGCACTTCAACAACTTCTCGTCTGCTGTGAGAAAAATGCCCCTCTTCCTAGATTTCAGTCTGGCTTCTGTAAGTATCACTCGACAGAGACTGCTCTATTAAAGGTTCAAAACGACATCTTAATGAGTATGGATAATAACGAAGTGACACTTCTCATACTTTTGGACCTAAGTGCTGCTTTTGATACCACTGAACATTCCATTCTTCTGAATATCTTGCAACAGGATTTTGGAGTCGTCGGAACTGCTTTAAATTGGTTCGACTCATTTCTGTCTGGTCGCAAACAACGTATACTTGCCAGTGATAAGACTTCTGACGACTTCAATCTGAACTGTGGAGTCCCCCAGGGCAGTTCTATGGGGCCTTTTTTATTTACTCTTTATGTCTCCCGCCTCTTAACATTATTTCTCAGCACCTCCCTTCTGTCCATGGTTATGCTGACGACACCCAGATTTACCTCCTCTCCTTCCGACCTTGTTCTATCCATTCGAAAATCAACGCTGTCTCTGTGATTGAAAAGTGCATGGATGATGTTTGCTCTTGGTTTATTGGAAATCGTTTAATGATCAATGATGCTAAAACTGACTTTCTATTTATTGGCACCTGTCAACAACTTGAAGTGCTTGTAATTATTAATTTTTGTAACCGTACATGTATTACAGTGGGAGATCCAGGGAGGGGCCCAGGGCCCCCCATTATTTTTAGACCAAACTGAGGCTATGCTTCGCAGGCTAAGGCCCTAAGGGACGAAAAAAATTTTTTTGAGACCGCCCCCCCCCCCTTATTTGAAGGTCTGGATCTGCCACTGTAAGACATGTAATAATAAGGCAAAGGAGATATATGATCATTGCCCTATGCTTTATTAACAAGATATATAATTACCAGTCGCAGTATCATTCCTTCTGAAAGGAGCCCCATCTCCCCCAATAGCAATGTACAAAACATTCTTTTCCCCGTTAAACCAATGTAGGCAAGGTACTCTCTCATCAAGAAACAGATACAGGTCAGCAAGCTGTAAGAGAAATGGCTTCAGAGGCCTGTACACTCCAGGAAATGCCTCAACATTAAATCTGGCAGCAAATGTCTCCAAATGAATCATCTCACCAGCGTCAAGTCTTTGACTAACACTTGTCAAGGTCTTGTAAGACTCAATCTTGGGAATTTCACAATTTTTCATAAATTCAGTTTTCTTGTTTTTACAATTTTTTCCACTTTCCTTGACTACATCTATGGTGTTCCGAATACTGGTGTACTTTTTTTTGCTTAGAAGCCCACCTTCATACAGAACACGCATGCTTCTCACTTTATTTTGCAAACTGTTCTCGTACTCATGGATGTTGGTCTGTACAATTTGTGGTATTATAAAATCTGTACAGGTTTTTGTTTTGCTAATGTATTCTTTCATGCATTGTTTGGGGGCAGTGTTTATCAGTGTAGTCCACATACCATCCATGATAGGTTTGTCAGGCTGGTTTGATTCCTTCCTCCCACAATGAACTGGCCTCAGTCCTTCAAGGATTTTTCTTCTCCTTCGCATTGCCTGTGCCCTCGAAAGGTTTAGTTTCTCACATGACAGCAAATGAAGCTCACTTGTTGTGTGAGGGAGTCTTGCCTTTTTGTTTTCCACTACTTCACATTCACTCTGATCTGTCACCTCATCAATCCGTAGGATAATAAATTTAAAAAAGGGGTGCATGGAATAAAAGCCTTAACTGACTTTTGTTGTAATGTAAAATTTTCCTTTTGTTCACATGGAAATGCACTGTACCAAGGGCAACGTGAAAGGAGAATTACACAGTTTATCAGAAATCACTTACGACTTTTTTCTCTCACCCATAACATATTTTTATTATATAACATTAAATAAGACCTACAAATAAAATAAATAGTAAAATTGGAAAGTAAATTTAATTCAATACAGTTATACTGTGTTTATGCATAGAATACATGAATAATTAGAAGTGGGTAAAAGAGAAAGAAAGTGAGGCCAGTGAGTAATGGACTGACTAAACTGACTAAATATAACTTATTACTTAGCGTCCATGCATTAAATCCTGACACTAGCTGGATTTTAGACATACATCTAGCTACCTCAATAATGAAGCTAATTACCTTCCATTTCTTATGGTGAATTCGCTCTTCTATACGGTGAAGTTGAGCCCGCATTGCTTTAATTTTCTCCTCACAATCCAATTTCTTTGGCAATTCGTTATGCATTTGCTCCTTTCTAAGGTGACTGTACAGTCCCAATGGGAAGCGTTTCTTTGAATGTGCCCTAAAAGAGCATTGGTTTTTTTCAGTCAAACGAGGACAAAGTGTGGGAATAAAATATACAGACATGTCAAGCAGATGTCAAACTAAAATTGTATGGTTTTCGATTTTCAAATAAACTTCGACAAACAAAGAAAACTGCAAAGGAAAACCTCACCTTGGGGACTCTTCAGGAACGTCAAGTTCGGTATTTTCTTCTCCAATCATGCTCTAATTATTCGCCACTACTACAACCAATATGGCTTCATGACACACCATTGGAAAGCTTGTGAGCCGAACAAGTTGAAAATGCCCGCCTGTAAGCTGTATTTGGTACCAGGTCCCAGAAAAACTGCCTTTTTGCAGCCCCCCTTGAAATGGCCAGCAGACCCAGAGCCCTTTGCGCGCTTGTTTGGCCGCCATCTTGAAATTTTTTCCCAAATTGTGATGAAACATTTAGGGGGTGGTTTGGCGCCTACATGAATTAACCCTCCATATTGTTTGACTGAATGATCGACTGCACGTTTTGGTTTTTTACATTCAAACATCTCTTTCTCTAACGCTTTCATGTTTGTTTTTCGCCTCCGCTTCAAGTTTTCTTTTTATATTTTTATATTTTTCCGTGCATTGTTTTGGTTTTAAGGGATTAAGTGAAAATGTTGCCCGCACGAAACTTGCAGCGCTGTACAGCGCCACAAAATCGCTTCATAATAGCTGTACAGCTAAATTACAGCTGTTCAGCAGCTTTTTAGAAGCCAAACAGCAGCTTCATTCAAGTTGCAGCGGGCTGCAGTAACGCTACAATTCAGCTGCGGTCGATCTGACTTTCTTGAGCACCAATAACATGAATCGCCAGATAAAGCCTTGGCACAGATTATGGCTTTTATAACGCGAAAACTTTGACTGTACCTCTAAGAAATGTGAGTAAGCTTGTGCGCAGGGAAGATCACTCATTGAATAAACCTCCAAATTCTATGCTTTCAATAAATCTTAATTCCGTGACCGGCGAGTGTGGGAATGTTATCGCTAATTCCCTGGAGACATTCTAGGCCATAATCTAATTGGTCGGTCCTTTTGCAAGAGATCCCATTACAACTCTAGACAAACACGGGATCGCTCAAACATTTGCGACCGTTGAATGAAAGGCGCAAACATTCTAAGTTTTTTCATCTAGTTCTGTTTCGAGATGGAAGTTCTGTTGAAGTTTTTGGAGGGAACAGCTCAAACGTATTTGCAAACAACGCACTGAACAGTGACTTCTACGCTAAGGTCATGAAAGAATTCAAGTTGAATTAGTTTTGTGTTTCCGAACCACGCGGTAGCTCGTTTAGAATCAAACGTTGTATAGAATTACGCTACTAGTTTGCGATATTTGAATTTATGTTTTGCCATGTTTGCGCACGGTAGCCTCTATGAGAAGTAATGATGTTGTGTTTTCTTCTTGTAGACAAACACTGCGTGATCTTAGATGTCTTCCTCTGTGCCCCTACACAGATTGGGTCTTTAACAACATTGAATGCCATTGCGATATTCATTTGGGAACTCTAAGATTATTAATAGACGATTTCATAAATTTTATGAATTATCGCGAATTTAATCCTGTCAGAGCATTATACAATTTTGAACAAGTCTACAGAAATATTCCGTTTGCCGAGTTTTTATTGTTCCCCAATATCACCGAAGAAGATTTAGCACAAAATCAGTGAGGAGAAGAAATCAGCATTGTAAAAGTTATTAACTGAGTGAAACATTATTGACTTGGGAAAAGGGCAAACAAAGGAGCTAGGAAGAACGTGCAGTCGAACATTCGCGGGTTAATTACCTAAACAATACCAAGATGGCACTTAATCCCCTGAATGGAAAACAAGATGGCCACTTACTCACTTAATAGGAAGCACCCGTACGAAACAAGCAGCGCTGCTGCAGCGCTGCAGAATGGCTTCAAGAAGCGCTACAAAAGAGCTGTAAAAGCGCTGGGCTGCAGCAGCCGCAAATTTTGGCTGCAGTGGAAAGCCCTTTGACAGCGATAAACAGCGCTTTTGCAGCGGTGCCGAAAATTCCCGAATCACGATCTGTGCTGCAAAGTGGCTGCAAAGTGGCTTCGAAAAGACAAAGAATGTTTTACCGGTTATAGACTAACACTCGTTAGTACAAAAAAAAGAAATGCAGGCTCCAATGATACAATAATCGTGATACGTGGTAGAGGAGTTGACAGGCCTTAGTAGCGGAGTAAAAACCACTAGAAAGTCAAAATGCAACTTACACTTTATTAGTATCCACGCGTACACGCTACAAAAGCACTTGACATTGAACAAATCTGCAACAGTCTCGCTTTGTAAATATTTAGCAATCACGGTCACTCATCTAAATGTAAGAACATCCGTTATTATGCAGACATTGGAAATTATCTTTTTTAACAATAAAGAGAATAACAGCGATTGTTCTACATAAAGTTTACACGGACAGCAGGCAGATGATATTTTGACTCGTTGCAATGGGCTAAGCTGGACATTGCTCACCTTGACGTTTTGTCCATGATCCACGATCTTCTACACTTTTTTCATGAAAGAAATCAACCCAATTTTGCTTTGGTCGTCGTTAAATTTAAAATGGACTAAGGAACGAACATTACCATGAGTGTATAAGAATCTTGTAAGTGCGAACCCCCTGTGAGATTCTTGTAGCGTGTTCTTTTTTACTTTCATGTTTCGCCTCTTCAAATTCACGTGCTTTGAGCTTGATTCGCACACTGTGGCAAGGTGGCAGGTTTTCCCGGGCACCTTCACCTGGATAAGGAATGGCCAACATGGCTAATGCTTCTAATTTATCTGGAGGTCTGGACTTTCTTGGCTCTCTGTGAAGTGGTGGTAGAGGTCTTAAGGGTGAGAATGCCATCTTAGTAAGCAACTGAAGTAGAAACACAATTTATACCTGCACACAACTTTCACTAACACCGTTAAGTGAAATTTCGTTGTAGCGTTCTTCCTATACATCTAGCACACCTTTACTCATTCATTGGTTTATTTCGCTTTCCCTTGGGTCCTCCATCTTTCTGATTTGTTCGCCTTGTTCCATGTGCTTCCAACACACCCTAAAGTTTAAATACAGCACATGTAGTCTATTGTTTTACACCATTTCGCAATCTGACTGTAAGCAACTACTATCTGTCACACCTTCAGCACGGAGAAACATCGTGACGTGATCGGCAAAACATGGACGGAATCATTGTTATAGATAATAAGATGCAAAGGGAGATTATATTTGTGGCTGAGTTTGAAAATGAAAAGTTGTGGGACAGATAAAATGTCCTTGAAGGTGTGTATGTGCCATGACTAAAAACGTTTTAAAACGTTGTTCGGGGTTCGCGGGGTTTTAAACAAGCAACCTTAGAATCTGTATAGCTTAGACTTACCTGCGCGCTATAGTACCTACACTACCGCGAACCCCTTGTAAAAAGATTCACAAAATTGGTTAGTGAATTTTATTCAGAAGTGGTGGCTTCTAAAGGAGCCGGTTTTTTTATGGTTCGTTCGGGTAATAAGGAAACGTGGTGACGATATTAAACTGATCAGCATCGCAAGGTGGATAGGTATAAAAAATACCAATGTGCTTGGTAAACTGTTCAGCTTCGATCGAGTATGCGATGATCCAATCGACATTAAACTTGTAAAGATAAAACTCGCCATGACGATAGTTGAATCCTTCTTTAACGATTTCGTAATCTGAGCTATCCTGAAACGTGAGCTCTGTCAAATGAAGTAACGCCTTGGTTCAATTAAAATCCCGGGTAAACTGGGACTTGGAATGTGGATACATCTCGCAGTGGTGGTATTTGTTAATGTGATTGGCACTCCATAAGGTCTGGATCGCGGACTCCGTTTCGGTGGGAACAGCGTATAAATCAGTTGCCCTTGGATTTTTTATTCGTGATAAACTGCACGTTTTTTTAATATTCATTATAGCTTTTTTTCCCGCTTCAAGCAAACACACTTATTTTCCTGCTTTTCCGACAACATTTATTTCATGTTGTTTTTGCTATTTCCCTACAACATTTATTTCATGTTGTTTTCGCTATTTCCCTACGACAATTATGTCATGTTTTTTTTCCTCTTGTCCCTACACCATTTATTTCATGTTGTTTTCGCTTTCTCCCAAGTCAATAACTTTTCACAGTTATTTTACAATGCACTTTCTTTATTTGCGAACTTAAAATACAAACGGGACTTGTCAGTCATCTAGTATGACTGACCCCAAATTAAAAAAATACACGTGGATATAACATCAAACATTTTTGCTCCATTTGAGCTGTTGTGGTCATATATTTCCAGTATCCTGCATCTGTAATGTCTTCAATACGTAGCTTTGAACTGACAATGCGAATACAATGTCCACACAAATCATCCTTTGTTGTTTTTGTCCACAGTGTAAATTGACACCATGATCTTTCTTTCATTTTTTCTAAGGTAGTTGTAGTTCCTCTGGAAACTCGTTAATGTTTTGGAATAAAACATTTCTATCGAGGATAGCATTATAGGTCCGAATAAACTGATTGTTTGCCTCAATGGGATCAAAGTCTTCATAGTTTTGGAATTTTATCCAATCGGCGATTACAAGATTAAAAATGCCAAAACGGCAATCGCAATGGCACTTCACATAACGGTAGGCCCAAAGAGTGAAAGGGCAGCAACGGAGAGATTTCAGTTCAAACAGCGATTTTCTATAAAAAAAAATAACAGATCAAAGTCACTTTCATTAATTGTGCTGTTCAACCAAAAACCCTGCAGATCTACAATACAGTTGAACTATAGAAGAACGCTCTTTCTGAAAATTTAATTGTTGACCTTTCCATGTTAATCTTAAGCCATCCATTGTTAACTGGAATTTGTATGCTTCAACAATTTTTAAGGTCATTCTATAGAGGATAATTCACAAGAAATAATTTAAAATATAGAGGCCAGTCGACATCTCTTAACATTGTAATATTCATAGGGGTTTTTCTACGAACAAACAAAAATATACATTCCATCAACAGCTAGGATGGAGTTCGTACCTCTCAGTGATACAGTCCTCAAATACTGAGCAGAAGACGATCGCGAATTACAACCCTATTTTCGTGGCGTGTTTCCTGCAGACCAATTACCTCCCCTGTCTAAGAAACGAGTGAATGCTTACATTGTTAGGACGGGTCCAGCTAGTCAACCGGGTGAACATTGGTTAGCGATTTGGACGAATCACACTACCTGTGAAGTCTTTGACAGTTATGGGTTACCACTATCTACCTACAAAAACCCTACCTTACAAGCTTGGTTGAACCAGTGGAAAGAAATCATTAGCAGTGATCAGCCTTTACAAGCCATGGATAGTTTTACGTGCGGGCATTATGCCCTTTTCTTTTTAAAAGCAAAAGCCAGATATGTGTCTTTTCAAGAACTACAAAAGAGCTGTAAAAGCGCTGGGCTGCAGCAGCCGCAAATTTTGGCTGCAGTGGAAAGCCCTTTGACAGCGATAAACAGCGCTTTTGCAGCGGTGCCGAAAATTCCCGAATCACGATCTGTGCTGCAAAGTGGCTGCAAAGTGGCTTCGAAAAGACAAAGAATGTTTTACCGGTTATAGACTAACACTCGTTAGTACAAAAAAAAGAAATGCAGGCTCCAATGATACAATAATCGTGATACGTGGTAGAGGAGTTGACAGGCCTTAGTAGCGGAGTAAAAACCACTAGAAAGTCAAAATGCAACTTACACTTTATTAGTATCCACGCGTACACGCTACAAAAGCACTTGACATTGAACAAATCTGCAACAGTCTCGCTTTGTAAATATTTAGCAATCACGGTCACTCATCTAAATGTAAGAACATCCGTTATTATGCAGACATTGGAAATTATCTTTTTTAACAATAAAGAGAATAACAGCGATTGTTCTACATAAAGTTTACACGGACAGCAGGCAGATGATATTTTGACTCGTTGCAATGGGCTAAGCTGGACATTGCTCACCTTGACGTTTTGTCCATGATCCACGATCTTCTACACTTTTTTCATGAAAGAAATCAACCCAATTTTGCTTTGGTCGTCGTTAAATTTAAAATGGACTAAGGAACGAACATTACCATGAGTGTATAAGAATCTTGTAAGTGCGAACCCCCTGTGAGATTCTTGTAGCGTGTTCTTTTTTACTTTCATGTTTCGCCTCTTCAAATTCACGTGCTTTGAGCTTGATTCGCACACTGTGGCAAGGTGGCAGGTTTTCCCGGGCACCTTCACCTGGATAAGGAATGGCCAACATGGCTAATGCTTCTAATTTATCTGGAGGTCTGGACTTTCTTGGCTCTCTGTGAAGTGGTGGTAGAGGTCTTAAGGGTGAGAATGCCATCTTAGTAAGCAACTGAAGTAGAAACACAATTTATACCTGCACACAACTTTCACTAACACCGTTAAGTGAAATTTCGTTGTAGCGTTCTTCCTATACATCTAGCACACCTTTACTCATTCATTGGTTTATTTCGCTTTCCCTTGGGTCCTCCATCTTTCTGATTTGTTCGCCTTGTTCCATGTGCTTCCAACACACCCTAAAGTTTAAATACAGCACATGTAGTCTATTGTTTTACACCATTTCGCAATCTGACTGTAAGCAACTACTATCTGTCACACCTTCAGCACGGAGAAACATCGTGACGTGATCGGCAAAACATGGACGGAATCATTGTTATAGATAATAAGATGCAAAGGGAGATTATATTTGTGGCTGAGTTTGAAAATGAAAAGTTGTGGGACAGATAAAATGTCCTTGAAGGTGTGTATGTGCCATGACTAAAAACGTTTTAAAACGTTGTTCGGGGTTCGCGGGGTTTTAAACAAGCAACCTTAGAATCTGTATAGCTTAGACTTACCTGCGCGCTATAGTACCTACACTACCGCGAACCCCTTGTAAAAAGATTCACAAAATTGGTTAGTGAATTTTATTCAGAAGTGGTGGCTTCTAAAGGAGCCGGTTTTTTTATGGTTCGTTCGGGTAATAAGGAAACGTGGTGACGATATTAAACTGATCAGCATCGCAAGGTGGATAGGTATAAAAAATACCAATGTGCTTGGTAAACTGTTCAGCTTCGATCGAGTATGCGATGATCCAATCGACATTAAACTTGTAAAGATAAAACTCGCCATGACGATAGTTGAATCCTTCTTTAACGATTTCGTAATCTGAGCTATCCTGAAACGTGAGCTCTGTCAAATGAAGTAACGCCTTGGTTCAATTAAAATCCCGGGTAAACTGGGACTTGGAATGTGGATACATCTCGCAGTGGTGGTATTTGTTAATGTGATTGGCACTCCATAAGGTCTGGATCGCGGACTCCGTTTCGGTGGGAACAGCGTATAAATCAGTTGCCCTTGGATTTTTTATTCGTGATAAACTGCACGTTTTTTTAATATTCATTATAGCTTTTTTTCCCGCTTCAAGCAAACACACTTATTTTCCTGCTTTTCCGACAACATTTATTTCATGTTGTTTTTGCTATTTCCCTACAACATTTATTTCATGTTGTTTTCGCTATTTCCCTACGACAATTATGTCATGTTTTTTTTCCTCTTGTCCCTACACCATTTATTTCATGTTGTTTTCGCTTTCTCCCAAGTCAATAACTTTTCACAGTTATTTTACAATGCACTTTCTTTATTTGCGAACTTAAAATACAAACGGGACTTGTCAGTCATCTAGTATGACTGACCCCAAATTAAAAAAATACACGTGGATATAACATCAAACATTTTTGCTCCATTTGAGCTGTTGTGGTCATATATTTCCAGTATCCTGCATCTGTAATGTCTTCAATACGTAGCTTTGAACTGACAATGCGAATACAATGTCCACACAAATCATCCTTTGTTGTTTTTGTCCACAGTGTAAATTGACACCATGATCTTTCTTTCATTTTTTCTAAGGTAGTTGTAGTTCCTCTGGAAACTCGTTAATGTTTTGGAATAAAACATTTCTATCGAGGATAGCATTATAGGTCCGAATAAACTGATTGTTTGCCTCAATGGGATCAAAGTCTTCATAGTTTTGGAATTTTATCCAATCGGCGATTACAAGATTAAAAATGCCAAAACGGCAATCGCAATGGCACTTCACATAACGGTAGGCCCAAAGAGTGAAAGGGCAGCAACGGAGAGATTTCAGTTCAAACAGCGATTTTCTATAAAAAAAATAACAGATCAAAGTCACTTTCATTAATTATGCTGTTCAACCAAAAACCCCGCAGATCTACAATACAATTGAACTATAGAAGAACGTTCTTTCTGAAAATTTAATTGTTGACCTTTCCATGTTAATCTTGAGCCATCCATTGTTACCTGGAATTTGTATGCTTCAACAATTTTTAAGGTCATTCTATAGAGGAAAATTTTACAAGAAATAATTGAAAATGTAGAGGCCAGTCGACATCTCTTAACATTGTAATATTCATAAGGGTTTTTCTACGAACAAACAAAAATATACATTCCATCAACAGCTAGGATGGAGTTCGTACCTCTTAGTGATACAGTCCTCAATTACTTAGCAGAAGACGATCGCGAATTACGACCCTATTTTCGTGGCATGTTTCCTGTAGACCAATTACCTCCCGTGTCTAAGAAACGAGTGAATGCTTACATTGTTAACACGGATCCAGCTAGTCAACCGGGTGAACATGACCATGACGAATCACACTACCTGTGAAGTCTTTGACAGTTATGGGTTACCACTATCTACCTACAAAAACCCTACCTTACAAGCTTGGTTGAACCAGTGGAAAGAAATCATTAGCAGTGATCAGCCTTTACAAGCCATGGATAGTTTTACGTGCGGGCATTATGCCCTTTTCTTTTTAAAAGCAAAAGCCAGATATGTGTCTTTTCAAGATTTTTTAGCTCAGTGGCATTCCAATAATTTAGTGTTAAATGATAGGCGAGTCACAGACCAACTGCAACGTCTCATTAAAACAGAGCTGACAGAGTATGAGCAATCTAATGTAAACCGTTCTTCTTTTTTCATTAATTAATAAAAATGTGTAACGCATGTTGGTGTGGTTTTATTTCTATCATAATACTACGGGGTGATGTTCAAAAAGTGCTCAATGCACTGTTAGAAAAAGAATGGTCTTATTGGGAAGACCACAAACTAGAATGGATCAGACTCTGTCTTGATCCAGCGGATCTGTGGGATGGGTATCATTGGCATTTTGTGCGATGTGTAGTGCAAGCTAAGATGTGGGAGGACTTAAAAAATCATATAAAAGGAATAGGTGAAACACATTTAAGAGATCAGATACTTATACTCATTCAGTTTAACTCACCGCGGCTATATCAATCACTATATGGGGCGAACACGAAAACGTCGAGTCATAAAACGAAAAAGTCAAAAGGGGGTGGGCGATTTAGACGAAAACCACGCGTGGTGGATAAAATAGCCGAGGGAGTCGCCATGGGGTTGTCCGGTCCTTCTCCTAGTTTATCAAATTAGGGGCCTTTTTAGGGAAACAAGCGCTGTAAGGTATAAAAGATAACATACAACATTACAGACGTCGAAAATGATTTGACAACCCGCTAGCGTGATTATTGCTGGCCCCTCAGGCAGTGGTAAAAGCAAATTAGTGGAAAAATTGCTCCAAGAAAAAACGTTGTTTGATCCTCCTCTGAAAAAAGTAGTGTATTGTTACGATCGATGGCAACCCCGATTTGATCGCATGAAAAAACACGCTCATTTTTACAAAGGTCTACCTCCCGAAGGGGCTCTTGTTAAATGGTTTAAACCTGAACATCATGGTATACTCATGATTTAATGGAAGAATCTGGCAATGATAAACGTGTCTTGGATTTATTTACGAAAGATTCTCACCATCGAGGTATTACCGCTCTTTATATTACACAAGATCTTTTTCCACCGGGCAAGTTTGCGAAAACAATTATCCGCAACGCACACTATGTGATTTGTTTTAAATCGCCCCGGGATAAGACAGGCATTCGACATTTACTGCTCCAGGTGTACCCTGAAAAATGGCGTAAAGTTCTCAAATTGTTTTTAAAGGTGACCTCCCTTCCTTTTGGGTATTTTATGTTGGATTTACATCCTGCCTCGGATGACTGTTTTCGCATTTGGAGTCATTTAACAAAAGCAGAGGGAACAACACGCGTTCATACCTTCGACGAAGATATAAATAGTCGCTCACTCTCAAACAAGCGCAAATCCAAACATGAAATGAAAAGGACAACCAAAAAGAGGAAAAGGTAAACCAGGGGTAGGAAGGCAACGAGGAGGGATTGCTCCTATGTTAGCCGCAGCGATTCCAGCTTTAGTGGCTGGAGGAAAAGCCGCAGCGATAGGAGGTTTAAGTGCATTGACGAATTATGGCACTAGGAAAGCAATCCAAGTGTTAGAGAAAAAGAAGTATAAAAGGAGGAGACGCCAACCAACACGAAGAAAGAAATAAACATGAGGGGACGTATGACCAGAGAGAGTCATTTTTTAAACGATGTGTTAAAAGAAGCCAACCAAAATAAACGGCAACAAAAATTACGGTATGCGAATGCAGATCAAATTAATGCTGTGAGTGAGTTAGTGATGAACACGTTGCGTGGGAGTGTCAAACCTGGGAGAAAAACAGTGAGCCGTTTAAAACCGTATCGTCAATCTCTCCGAGTCATTGCCAACCCTCGTCAGAGTACAAAAAAGCGCAAACACTTGATGAGTACACAGATAGGTGCTGGGGCGTGGAAGGAATTACATCGCTGCTATCACTGTGCTAAAAGGCAATATCGCTATTAAGTCATGAAACGTAAAATTTTACAACAACTTCTTTGTGTATTAGACTAATTGCTTCTACTCGCACAGATGATCAAAGAGTTTCGACAAAAAGTCAAAGAGAGATGCAGACCCAAACAGATATAAGGACATGATTTGACTGTTATTTTCATTAGCATGCATGGACGGTATTTCATCCACACCAATTGAAAACTCAGTGCAATTTTTACGTTTGCGAGATAAATACAAATCCAATCTTTTAGATGATAGCCGTTTAACCAAAGCAGCAGGTTTAGCCGCTCAAAAAGAACTTTTGTTGGAGAGTCCTGCGCCGGATACATGGAAAGAACCCCGTTTAAAATCAGTCAACTGAGAATTACAACAATGGGTCAAGAAAATTCGTCAACCAGGAGGAACGCGAGGGATAAGTCGCGATGAAGACGACAGTGATGAGGATAAAGGAAATTTAGCCGTAGGCCCATTACAACAATTTATGGGAAACATTTCAAAAATCAGTAAGGCTATAAAAAGGAAAGCCGAACCGGTGACCCCTCAATCAGTGTTACAAACACCTGTTGTCAAACAACCTTCTTCTGCCGGTAAAAAACCTAAGTTGACCTTTAAGACTGGATCCAAAGTAAAGCGGTTGTTACCCAAGACCCCTAAAAAGACTCCTTCATCTGGTTACAAGACCCCTAAAAAGAAACTCCTTCCCCTCCTTCCAGTGTTTTTAGTACTGCAGAAGAAGAAGAAAGCTCAAGAGAGTATTAAAAAATCGTTTGACAAGGTTAAAAAAAGAGCTCAAGAAAGAGCCTTAAAGAAACTCGCACCTGCTCCAGGTTGGAAACCGTTTGGGACACCGGCGAAAAGAAGATTGGATGAAAAAGACTGGTAAAAAGAAGGTTTGCAGAAAAAGACCGTAAAAGGGAAGAAAGTGGAGTCAGCGTGGAGGCAAGTTGGATATTCAGAAACTTATTGAAAAAACAGGCAAAGAGTTTCATTGGCCTAAAATGAATTATACTTGTCCAGGCACACATTTGGAAAAAAGATTGAAGCGGGGGGGTCGAGGCGTCAATCGTTTAAACGAGATTGCCCGAATCCATGACATCGATTATTCCAAAGCGAAAAATTTACACGATAAGTGGAAATCCGACGATAAAATGATTCTCGTTTTTTACGAAACTCCCAGGCAAGAAAACCAAACAAGAACGGATAGTCAAAACCATTATGCAAGCAAAACGCAAACTCAAGCTGTAATTCTGTTTGTTATTGACTTAATAAAAATTTGAGTTTACAATTGAAATGATGTTATTCTTAAGACCCCAAAACCTCTAAGGTCCCTAAGGCCCCTTCCCTCTATTTATACGAACAGAGACCACACAAATAATTTGAGTCGCGAACTTAGTTTATTATGTCATTTCACCTCTCTTCGATGAAACCATTACAAATCCTACTCCTAATTTTATTTCAAAACAAAGCATGCAAATGTTTTTGTCGGGGTTGGCGCCTCCATGCTACCTTACTACCGAAGAAAAAAAACTATTTACAATGAAAGAAGTTGGCGCCACCATGCAAACCTTACTTCACTTAAGAAAAAAATCTAGAAAAAACTATTTACAACGAAAGTAACAGTTCGACTTCTCCACCGAACCAGTTGTATCCGTATGGTGTGAAGACACGGGTAGAGGGGTCAATGACTCGTTTGTCAAAGACCAAACCATACTTTTTCACTCGTTCTGTGAGTTTGATTTTCTTGGTAGTTTGGTCTCTGTCAAAGAAATCAGGGATGGTAATCGCCATTTCTCACCGCTGCTGCATGGGGTGATCCAATTCTTTGAGGATGTTATCCCGCATGGTGTAGTAGTTAAGTATCTGGAGCGTCTCGTAGTTGAGTGTAAACCCACGCACCTTACACTCGACCTTGCCTTTCTTGGTGAGATAGCCATAATTTTTCGCGCCACCACTGCAAAATTCCACGATCGAAGCTCCACCAAGCTCGTCTGTGAACTGCCCGAGGTATCGCCCCAACGGCAACTTTTCTTGACCCGGTTTGGTTTTGTAGATGACCAAGTCTGTATCATAATACAAACACCGGTCACCTAGAAAATCAAGCGCTTCATACAGCTTAAGGCGAGCAAGAGATGTCATGAAGGCCGCGACGAACACGTTGGTTTTAAAGCTGCATTCATATTCCTCTTCCGCGGTGGTTGTCACGATCTCCATCACATCTTCGGAACAGATACGTATGGCAGAAATTTGAAATGTTGGATCATCCAGGATCCGGAACAAATCAGCTGGTTGTGTGATGCAGTGGGTCACCGGTTTATTTTGGCGCACACCAAATTTGCCCCATAAACTGAAAGATAGAAAAAAGAAAGAAAATTATAAGTTTGTTATTGTTTTCTGCGTGGTCCGCAGATTATAATTTTTGATTTGTAACATGCATACGCAAATGCACAAGTCAAACCATTTCGCGAACTGAAAAATGTAGTAAAACACAGCAAATAGATTTTCTTAAGTGCATACTTTTACTGCAACTAAAAAATCTTAAGTGTGGAAAAAGTCTGCAACTAAAAATTCTTAAGGTCCCTACATCAGCCTACATCGGCCTGTCTTCGTTTTATCGCCGTTTCATCCTGGTTTCATCGTTAAACGTTTTGGAAAAAATGTTAACATAACTATTTACCTGTTCAAAAGCATCTTCGCAATAGAGCTCCGGCCAGGTTTTTCCGCTATATTCTCCAGCTTAATGCCTTCATGATGTTCGTAGTCTCGGACATACTCTGCTTTCTGCTCCTCGGTCACGCACTCTTTAGGCCAACCGGCGCTCTACTGCTTAAGTTTCAACCACCAAACAAGCCAGTACATCGGTTTTCTTCTTTGGAATGCCAGACTTCATGCATTTTCTGGATTTCGTATCCTTTTTCTACTGCTGTTTGCAGTTCCGGAGTACACCATGTGCCGTGTAACATTCGCTGTTCACGAGTGTGACCACACATATTGCTGCGTTCTAGGAGCGGTTTGGCCATTTCTTCTTGGACACACGATCTGCATAAAAAAGGAAAAGTAAGTTTGCCGCCCTCCCTCACGGGGAGAACAGGATGAAAGAGCCGCTCAGGCGCAAGGATGTCGACCTGAGCGATACCAAAATAATGGAAAATATTTTGATCTGCAGGGTTGTAGAAAATTTCTGGAAAATGCACAAGATAAGTTCCATATTTGTTGATCGAGGGATATAAAGAGGTGAAATCTACATATGATATCTCTTCTCCCTCAGCAGCTTTGGCGTAGAGGGTTGTGGCGTCGGTACGTCCACCAAAAAAGGCATCTCGTGGTTCGAGCGGTGGAACTAGCTCAAAGCTTTCCAGGAAGGCTTGTAGTTCTGGGTCTGTTTTTTTCTGCTGGGCAGACACGTGGCTTCGTAGACCTCTTCGATAGTTCGGTCTAGATGGCAGTGTCTTTTCTTCTGACGGTTGAGGGGGAAACAACGTTTACAACCATGAAAGATGCATCTGTGATACTCGTACACTGTATTGCTGACTGCATGATAACCATCCACATTGTAGGACTGAGCAGGGGTTAGAACACGGGCTTTGCCATCCAAACTGTTTCACACATGCCGAAAAATAGAAAAATATACATTTGTTATTGTTTTCTGCGCGGTCCGCAGATAATAATTTTTTTGATTTGTAGTGTGCATTTGCGTTTGCACGGTACAAAACATGTCGCAAACTTAAAATTGCAGTAAAACACGGCGAATAATTTTTCTTAAGTGCAGACTTTTTACGCATATTTCCCATAAAAATCACTGTAAAATTTGACTTGTAGCGTGCATCTGCGATTGAACAGTATGAAACATGTCGTGAACTTAAAAATGTGCTAAAACACTGCAAATGAATTTTCTTAAGTGCATACTTTTACTGCAATTTAAACTTCTTACCTGAATTTCACCGTTCATCTTGGAATTTTCAAACTCAAGCCATTGCAGGGCCTCCACACTTTGATTCTGCTGGTTTTGGCGCCACCCGTTTTTGGGTTCCAGCGCGATCAGGTCTCGAATCAAAAAGTTCTTTCTCCACACTTTGTTGGCTGTACTCGCGATGGTAACACATTCGATCACTGGATTAATTCCAGTCAGTTCTACCATTTCTTTTCCAAACGCTTCCAAGGACTGAGCAAGGACTTCGACATCGCTATGAAGATAGGCAGAGAGTTCTTTCTGAAAATCAAACACAGCATTGCTTTCCACTTGTTCTTTGTGCCATGCGTAAAATTCTTTACGTCTTTTCTCTGACATCCTTTCTGGGTGATAGTCCTCTGCTGGAGGATAAGGGCCCACGTACTCATACTTGTCCTCGCGTATCCACGAATACGTGAAGAATCCCTTATGTAATTCTTGCAAATTGAATGTCGCCGGTAATTTCTCTAACGAGTATTCCCCAGTACGTGATGAATCCATTATGTAATTATTGCAAATTGAATGTCGCCGGTAATTTCTCTAACGCCATATTAAAAAGATTTAACGAATCACAAAAAATAAGGTTACTGCACTCGAGCGACAAATACTTGGCTCCCACACTCAACACTTTCACCACCTGGTAGCCCAAATCATACAAAGCATGCAAAATAAATGATGAATCAAAACCACGCATATTGTGAGCATACACATAGACTTTGCGTTCTTTACCGTCCTCCGTGACAGTTCTGGCTTAAGCGTCACGCAACAAATCCATGGTCGTTCCCGCTTCCTGATAACTACTGATCTCACCCAGATATTTCCATCCAACTCGCACTACTTCAAACTCTTTGATTACATTCTCTGTACATTCAGAGTCCATGACACAAATCATTGGTTCCACCTTTTCTTTTCCTTCACTGTCTCCTTCGTTCTCTGCCTCTTCAAATTCCATCATCCTTTCTTCGTCCGCATCCTCTTAGACCGTACGGGGGCCCCACTTTGTTTTGTCTTCGTCCACAATGGGTTGAATAAAACAACGGTGATTGACATGAGTTACTTCTTTACAGTTTCGGCAAAGAGTGTGATAGCAGCGATGTTTCTTTTTGGGATGGAACTTGTAAGTTTGGCAACATTCGTGACACTTTTTAAATCGGCTGCAAACACTATTCGCTCCTCGTTTGTGCGCGTCATAACAGTTCTGTCCGTAAAACTTTCGATTACATTGATCACAATAGACTTCTGCTGTCACATAGGTCCAAAATTAGGACAAGTTCCGTTCGTTCTTCTGCAGCTGATACAGTTCTGGCCCCGGCAATTATGGTTTTCGCCCGTCTCATTGCTGTAGCCTTTCTCGCGGTGATGGCAATAATAACTTCTGTTTAACAGGGCTGGAATGCTACACAGACCGTGAAAGTGATTTTGTACTTTGAGTAGGCAGATTTTCTTGGGTGCATCATTGTAAGTGTGGTCTTTGAACCAAACATGCCTCGTTGTCCTTCAAAGACAATGATCTGATAATCTTGAGGACCTAAATGATCTTGAAACTTCTGCAATTCCTCGAAACCACATGGTCCCTCGGCTACCCCGGCTTCTTGACAAAGTTTATGTGCGAGATAGCGTTCCTGACCGCTACTTCTTTTGATGGTCTCATATTGTGGATTTCCATCAGCAAGGGCTTGCATGGTGACGAGGGCCCACGAGGTGCAAAGCTCATCTTTATTCTTAATTGTGATAAGGCATTTCTTCTTTTTGAGCATGTCTTCATAAGACATACTGCCAGGATTTTTTCCTTTACGCCCACTTGCACGCTGACGGTTCTTAAAAAACAACAGTTCAATGTAAAATTCGCCACTGGTTGCATCGAAACTCTCAGCTGAGTTTAATTGCTTGGCTAGTTTATCTAACCAATGTTCGGTGTATTCGCTGCGATTAAGCCACTCTTCTAACGGAATAGGTCGTGTACTGGTCCATGTGTGTGTGCCTGTACTATGGTGAACAGCCATGGACATAGACAAATCTTCAATGCGTCCAAGTTCATTTCGGGGATCACGAACGTATTTGTTCAGTCCTTGAATCGTTGCTTCAGTAATCGCCTCTCCCTGTAATTCACCATTGGGAGGACGCAACTGAATTAACCGGGAGCGAACAGCGTGCTGAACCGCTACACCATCTCTCCATCGCTGCATCGGACCAATGTGTTGCATATTAACGGCAAATGGCCGATTTCCACCTTGCTGATCTGCTCTGCACGAAGCGGCTAACAGGTCAAATTCGTCGTTGGAATCCATCAGTTCCTCTCCCTGACTAGCGGTCCATTCTAACTCCTCTGCTAAAACCTCTTCTAAGCCATCATTCTCTATAAGCGAACGAATGTAAGGATCCATGTTACGTTTTTGAAAAGGTTGAAGATCGTTTGGATAAGCTCCGCTCAGTAAGACAGTAAAAACTGAATGACGCTTTCAGAGATGTGACTTAGTTAAATTAGCTGTGGAGCGCGTGCTTCGAATTTCATTAAGTCATAATGGACAAGGAACGTTCAAGGTTGCCCAAGACTGCCTAATTACTTATTTTGACTGAGTCAGCTACAATTGATGTCATCTTTGTTCTTTTTCTAATTAATTTTTTAACTGATCTATCTATAATTAATGTCATCTTTGTTCTTTTTCTAATTAATTTTTTGGCTGATTCAGCTATAATCTTTGTTCTTTTTCCCTGAGCATTCATTTGACATTCTCAGTTCATTTTTCAAAGAAACCCTCCCCTACCTGAGCGTTCATTTGACAATCTCAGTTCATTTCTTTTTCCCAAAGACACAAGTAAATTACACGCAAACTTAACTTTATTTTCATTTTACCTTCCTTCGGTAAAATGGTACAATAACTTTCTTAGTAACTGCATTGAGAGGAACGTATTTAACCGCTAGTCGGCTAAGTCCTTTTCAAAGCACTTTTTTCTTATTCACAAACTGGAACATATCAGAACCCTAATGGATCTGGTCCAAAAAGTCATCTTGATAATCTCGAAAAAACTAAGGAAATTCTAATTTTAAGTGAGCGTATGTTCGCTCAAAGCGCTCGATCATTGATTCAACATGTGGAAAAAAAGGGTCGTCAATAACACCTAAATCATCAATGGTTACATTTAAAACAGTGATACGAAAATCAGTTTTCTGTCTGTCAATTTCAATCCACTCCGTAAAAGGATTACATGGTAAAAAACGAATATCTTGTAAAGCTTCTCTACAAAAACAAACCAAAAGATTGCATCATTCTTTGTTCAAGCGCTCTGCGTCTTTGTAAAAACATTTGTACGCCTATATAACTTAAAGATTTTACGGTGTTCCCTTTCAAAATCAACTCTTTCATATCTATCAAGCCGTATTTGCCCTTCCACTGTCAATCCTTCGACACAAATTCTTAGAGATCGTGAACAGGTTTCTCACGCAAAAGAAAGCCATTGCACAGAGCTACAACAATGTCGCTTCTTAATTTGTTGCAAACATTTTCTAAAAAGAAAAAGAACTTACATCAATTCTAAGCGTCTACGAATAGGTGTATAGTAAAAAAGTCGAATTAAACGCGCCTCCTCATTTTTATCTACAAATGCTTTTTGACGTTTCAAACGTAATCCGTCTAACGTTAATCGTGTTGTCTTAATTCTTTTACATTGTGGACATCTTGGGTCTTCCCCATAGCGAGCGTACTTAGTGACGACCCATTCGGTTTTATGGCAATAGGTATTCCATCTTCCTACTTTCAGTTGATTCAAACAATTTCTAAAACATAATCAATCAGCAAGCGCGTTTAAAAACAAGTTTTTATAAATCAATCTAATCGAATAATTCTCTACGAATAGGTGTATAGTAAAAAAGACGCATCAAATGTGTCTCCTCATTTTGGTCAACTTTTTGTTTTTGCCTTTTCAAACGTAATCCGTCTAACGTTAAACCCGTTGTCCTAATTCTTTTACATTGTGGGCATCTTGGGTCTTCTCCATAGCGAGCGAATTTAGTTGCGACCCACCCCGTTTTACGGCAAAAGGTATCCCATCTTCGAACTTGCAGTTGTTTTAAACATTTTCTAAAATAAACATAAACATGGGCGTTTTTTAAAAACACGTTTTTTATAGTTCAATCATACAGCATTTGCTCTTCACACTTAACCATGTGCAGTCTCTAATCCAAAACAGTGATTCCACAATTGGTCTAAAAATGCAACATTTCTAGGGTAAATTTTTGAGTTTGAAAACCATGCTTCGATAAAACACAAATCTTCATATACATACCTGAAGTTTACGCGATGTTGTTCTCTATATCGATTTCTGTCCTCGATATATTGCTGCTCCTGCAATTCTTGTGTGATCGGGTGCCAGGGCACAAGGAACGTTTCAGCCATCAATCCCTTATTGGGAACCGCTTCAAATGCCAATTGCTTTAGGGTCTTCATCTTCAAAAAACAGCAACCCAATCTGATATCTTCACACGGTGATGAGCAGAGTGAAGTGACTTTCCCAAATTCACCTTTTCTTTATGCTGTTCACCACGATTCACGCTCATTGGTGCGGTGACAACAAATGTTGAGCGGCAAAAACCAATTAACTGTTCGCCGTTCTTTCAAGTTTTAAACCTTAGCGGCTAAAAAAGTGCGCTTCGCTTTTAAGTTTAACCGTTAGCGGCAAAAACAAATACACTTTTCGCTCTTTTTCAAGTTGAACTCTTTTTGTTTTGCAATCAGTTTTAAGATGGAACAGAAAAAAATTTTATTTTCAACAATGGCTTCGCCTTTTGAAACCCAGGGCAGTTTTCTAACGCAAGAACAAGCAGACCATATTAACGAAAGACATGATTCTAGAAAAGAACATGTTAAAACAATCTAATCGTCTTTTGGCGAAACGGTTCTTGTAAGAACCACCACATGATTAAAAGTCAATGCCCAATACTCAGAAAGACTTTTTTATTCTTTCTTTTTCTTTCGTCGGGAACGTGCGTAGCGCACAGCGCTACGCATTAGTACTGATGTCAGATCAATTTTCAATACGTTTAAGCTTACGGGTTCGATTCTCTCTTTCTCTTTCAGGTCTTTCTTTTTTTCCTTTCTAAGACCCAGGAGCAAAATTATTTTAGCTGACTCAGCGAGTTATCATGCAAATTTGAAGCGAACATGAATTAGCATACGAAAGCACTGACTGGAACGCATTTGTTATAAAACTATACACACATTCTAGGAACTTTTATAATGCTCACGCTTTGAAGATGTCAACGACTAAAGAGCTCGGGGAAGCTTGGTTTGGCTGTCAAGGTGAAGTAAAACATCTTAAGGCTGTTTTAAAAATCAAAGAAACACACATTCTTACACTCAAAGAGTATATTCGAACCCTTAAAAGAAAAGAGATAAAGAGATGACAAAGAGAGAAGAGGAGAGACGCTGAAAAGAAAGAAGTGAAAAAAGCCAAGAAGACTTTGATCTATGATAATATGGTTGGCGACATTAATCTCTTATGCGCTAAATGTCAACGATATCTTAAAAAACTGTAATAAAAAACTTCTTAACTTCAGATCTTTATTTTTCTTTGAAAGGCTCGTAGCGGCATGGTAGCGAAATGGTGATCGCGTCTGTCCCACATGGATGATTGATGACCTTACTCCACATATATAAATTCCGAGGATCTAACCTTAGAATAACAACGAGTACCCGATCCTTTCCCGAGCGCTATCCGCCATCTTGAACTTTTGATTGACAACTAAGAACAATAGCCTTTAAACAATAGGCGGCAGCATCCTTTGATTCCTAAACTAACAAGGAATACTACTTGGGACTTGTATAAGATTGTTTGCAATGTAAAAATCTGTCAATTAATTAAAAAAGTTTGAATTCTCATGGTCATGTGACCTCGCAATACCTT